CGCTCGCGCGGCTGTTGTGCTGCTTCGTCGGCAGGCGAGTCGGTCGGCCGGACGCCCGACTGTTCATTACTGCGGTGCTCAACGGGTCCAATTTATTCACTTGTGTAGTCCGAGGGACATGGAACTCTCAGAAATGAGTTTCGTTCGCGTTCTAGATGCTGCGTCAGCTACACGAGAATTATGACATCGCTCCTGCATGCGCGTGGGAAGACACGGGTTCAATTATTCAGCCGATTGATCGTCTTGAATGAGGACCGTAGAAGGATACTGCGATCGGGGAACGCTGAACTTATTCTTCTCGATCATCAAATATTCATCCAGAATATCCGGGACTCTGTCTGGGCATGATCCGCCGGGTTTCGTTCTCAGACTGTCTTTGCATATATCCGGAAATAACGGCAGTGGAGCTCCGGGAAGCTCCCAGGTAGGTGGTCACGCAGAGCGGAGTCGCTGGAAACGTTCCGAGCGCCTCTCGAGTTCGATCACTAGAACGTACAATCTCCCGAGATTACATGATGATTGCGCCTTCATAAATAATTCACCTTGCCGTGGTTATTCAGAATGTAAGTCGCCTACGTAAGCTGCTTATTCCGCAGTAAATCTCTCGGGTACGTCCCTGAGCTATTATAGGATACGTCGACGCTCTCGTGTTGCGGAGCTACTCCCCATGCTGGACGGCCTAGATTGGAGACTTTTTTCTATCGTTCCGACACTATCGTGGCTTTCCCAGAGCTCCGAGAGGCTTGTTCCGCGGGCTAACAATCTCGGAAACATCGATATGAATGTCGAGCAGGGGAAGCCTGTTTTCCCAGGGACCTCACTTATTGCACTTACGAGAGTGACCTTCCGGAGCATGGATGACGAGCTCCTCCTGAGTCTGAGATGCTTAATCGAGGACCCATCCTTCGTCTATAAATTAGTTTATTTAGGATCACGTATATTCATTTCCATTGTTCCATTTCTCTTACTCATCCACATTGCATTCATGGTCAAAACCGAATGGAGACCAGTGTTCCCAGACTTCTTATCAAAGGCAAATTACGTTCTGAATCATAGTGATAATGATAATATGAATTATAATTCCAATATTGGTATTTACAAGACGCTTTCCTTATCTTACATATTTATACGGGGATGGCAACTATTGGGAACGAGGGCGTTGTATTTCTCCCCCCCCTCAAACACCGCGGCTCGCTCTGAGTTTCTGTTCGTTCGGTTTTGATTGGACTCATCAAACATCCCTATCGTTTAACACCCTATTTTCTTGTTGTTCCTCGATTACACTGATCCTCTGACTGAGAGAATCCCCTCATCCGACGTCTGAAAGATCTTGCTATCCACCTTCATCGATTCCCTGGATTGGTCTGACAGAGCTCATAATCACGCAAATTACCATTTCGTCTTGAGTAACATCATGAGCCAACAATTTGTGCTCGACCGGGGATCCCGAGATGATTCAGCCGAGCTGCTCGAGAATCTTTCGCTGGACGTTCCGGACGTTCGTTCTAGGCTTCCCCGTCCAGGTCCAGTGGTGAGAGTCGCGCCGAACAGGGAATCGACTCGATGTTCTGAACTGATTGTGAGCAAATTCGACATTGTCATTGGAGTTGCGCTTAGAACAGAGGGTTGAATGCAAGGCTGCGCAATAACATGACTCCGTCACCCGCTTAAAGCTTACAATACGTCATTACAAAAATAAAACAGCTTCCTCTCAGAACAACCCATCGCGTAACAATCAAGAGTCGTTTGAGTGAAACTCTTCCCAAAGCTCCGCAGTCAGACTACATACACACCTTTACATCGAGAGTCACCCTGGGGGAGACCATTGAGACATCCTTTCGCGAATGCACTTATATACCGCGGGAATGCTTAAGAGTTTTGTTTGCGGACGAGGCCCCGAAACTCGATGCGCCGGGCAGGAATCGGGTGAATGACGAACAAAAACTAGAAGCTCTCGTGATATTGTAACTCTGTGGTTTCGACCCACCGGCGGTGAAGCCAGGCTAGCGTGAGGTTCGTTGAGGCTTTTTGAATCGAATCCGGAAGAGATCCGAACTTGATCCTGAAGTGGATCTCAATGATTAGTTCGGAAAATGACCCGAACAAACAGTAGCGTCGAGCGCAGAGCTGGTTCGAGACAAGCACGACATGAGTTGGGTTACGCCGAATTTGTTCAAGGTCGAATCGACTTATCATACCTTGCTGAGTTCCGGCCAGCGTTATAAGAGATTCACAGGAAAATGCCCCAAAAATGTACAGCTTATATACATCCGACCATAAATATATGATACAAGCAATCGACAGCTCTCCTCGTATGTAGGATCCGAGAACATCTCCGCACCTAATCAAGTTTTCTTGCTTGAAGGAATCACACAATCCGTTGTCGAATCCATTTTTCCCTCGAAATTCTCTCCGGAAGTCGGATATAGAGCAGAACTCGCGATCGCAAACTTTTTGAACTCAAATCATCGCGATTATTCCTGTTTGGTACTCCGGGGGTTCTAACACGAGACCCCGGTAAGGAGAACGGAGATTCGTGCGGGATGGGGCACGGAAGATTTTCCGCGGGATTTGATCAAGTCCAGAACTGTTCATACGATTCGTGGTCTGAATCTCATTGATTCTTATCTTGATCCGGCTGAGTGACTGGCTGGCTCGCTCAGTTATGAATGGGATGAAATGATTTACAATACAGGCGCAGCAGCGAAAAGTTGTTCACACAGTCCTTATCGGCTCTCTTTATACGAAATTGTCTCCTATATACATCAATTGCACCTCTACTGAAGGTTCGTCTCCGTATACGGTTTGAAACTCTGCAAAGAGGAAGAAAGTGTATATAAGCACATTATGTAGCTTTTTCCATGCCAAATTTCCCGCTACTTTTTCCGTCGTCCTTGCTGAACATTCCTCCTACCTTCCCGACCACAGCTAAATCGATTGCTCTCGCCCTCGGTTACTTCCCTGATCCCAGGTTGAGGCTTTGAATATATGTGGAATGTCTCGCCGCAGGAGCAGCATCGCCTCGTAGTCGTAGTCGCGGACTGCACGACGGAGCACAAAAAAGATAGAACCACAGGCTCACAGACCCATCGAGATCATCACAATGGGTAAAAAACGTTGTGAGGTGGAGAGTCGGAAAAGAGCCTCCAGGAGAAGCGGCTGAAGATCTCCGCAGAACGTTCGTAGATCGCCCGGATCGTTAGGAGACGTACACGCAGAGAGGGAGCTTTTAGCGAGATGAGAGCCCGGGGAGGGCGCCGTGCGAGCGACCAAGGAACCGACGAGACATTCGTCTCGACTCGGAGTTTGTTTTGCAATTAGCAGCCATAATCCTGGACGATTCCCCTGGCTCCGCGCCACCGAAACTCGAGACCCTGGTCTAAATTCATCGAGGATACCGCCAGAGCGGGACGACGAATTCTCTAGTGAGCACTTTTTCGCGCCGAAGATTTTCGGCGCGCGGGAGTCCTACTCCACGGTGAGAGAGAAGCATGGGAGATAGATCCCGTGGGCAGAGTATCGTAGGCAATGAGCTTCTTGTCTGAAGCTCTCCTTCCCGCACGATTTTCGGAGCGCTTTTATTATTTGTTTCGAGATGAAGAAGAATTGGAAAGCTCCCGGATACTCTCCCGGATAAGAACGAGATACTCGAGAGCGAAGGAGATATGTCGACGGGGAAAGGGGTTGGCGAACTCCGTCAGGAGCGAACGGTATAAAAAGAGTTTTCTGATGCAGGATCCGTTGGAGCAGCTCGAGCTGCTTTCGTTCGTAGGTAGCCGACAGCCATCTGTTCCGAGGAGTTCCGTGAGCAGCGATACAAACACTTGATAATCTCGAAATAATGAAGGCTCTCATTGTTCGCGGGAGCTGTGTTCTTCCCTGCTCCGACTACTCGGGGAGATCTTTTTTCCTAGCAGCCGTATAAAACCCATATAGGAGGCTTATTCTCTTTCTCATGGGAGGCTAGCTCACCTTCAACGTTCCGGAGTCATACGACGATTGATAACGAGTGTCCACGGCGACGTGGTGGGGCGGCGGCGGCTTCGTCGTCGGCGATAGGCTCAGATGATCAGATTCCCGCCATTCCTGGATGAGAATAGGGGAATTCCGCTATGAATACCTTGCCGAATGCGAGAACATTGCTGCTCGCTTACACCTAGCGTCTCCAGAGATAAGCTTTCCGGATTCGAGTTGTATACGCGCGGGAGCTGCGCTCATGAATTGAATTTTCGAGAACGCCGCTCTTTGTAAAGCCCCGGCTCGACAGTCCCGCTCATTCGGTCGCGCTCCCCCGTCACGCTTGTCGTCGGTCGGTAACACGTAAATGAATCATGCCATTGCATGCGAGCGCAGATACATATGTTCAAAGCTAGGTTAATAGATCACACCCAGCACGCTTTTCCATAATAGACAGACCGACGCTATGAACGAGTGAAATTCCAGCTCGCAAAACTGCCGCGTGACCTAACAGTTCCATAAGGAACTTCCATTGCCTCGCGCTGGATTCTTGGAGACCGATTGAGCGGGCCGCAAACGGTACCCTCCCTCTAGACCTTTCCGCGAGGGTTTCGAGGCCGAGGACTAGTTGCCGGCCCAGATTGCTTCACATTGCAATGATTCTCATCAATATGTACCGTATATCTCCAAATAAAAGGCGCCCTTCAAATACAAGACACTGTCGGAAGTACTATAATAGAAGACACCCCCCAATAGTAGGCATCCCCTTAATACAGGACCCTGTCAAAAATACTATTATAGAAGACACCCCTAAATAGAAGACACTGACTGTCCTGCATTTTCGGGGTGTCTTCTATTGTGGAGGGTGTCTTCTGTTTGGGGGTGTCTTCTATTAAGGGGTGTCTTTTATTAGGGGGGTGTCTCCTATTCGCGGGTGTCTTCTTTTGGGGGCTGTCTTCTATTATAGTAATCCTTGCGAGTCACTTATATTTGGGGGATGCCTTTTATTTTGAGATATACGGTATACTAAGCTATCGACTGACCGGTACGGAACTGTGTAGCGTCAGATGCAGACTGTCATGCCGCGGTAACGTGGCCATGTGCTGATAGACCGACGATGACGCCGTACCCACGTGCATGACGCGGCCTTGACTCGTCCCAACGTCCCATGCCCCCTTCTTGAGCGTTCCTGTGCACAAGGGTCCTCCAGGTTGACCCGGCTGGACCATTCCCCCCATGAAAGATGGGGTCCCGAGCAGACGTTCCTCGGCTGTCCGACAGTTCGTCAAGGACTCCGCTGCGAGAAATAAGCGGGAAGCATTAATATCCTGGGTCTGCGAGAAGTGGTTTCCTCCTAATTAGGACACGAGCGATGATGTGTTTGGTATTCTGTTCCTTCTAAAAATAGGAGCCCTCCGCGAATTCACGCCCCCCATATCTTTGCCGCCACTTACAGGGTATGATGTCCGGACATTTTTCTTCGTCGTGGTAAGGCGAATGCGTGAGATCCGTCATGTTTCTCTCTTCCATCTGGAGCTGAGATTTGTCCTCAGCTGCAGCTCTCTTGTGCGCTGAAATAGGAATCATGAGCCAGTCAGCTGCAGCAGCTACCAAAAAAAAGCTCGGACGCCGATTTTGGATCTCAAAAAGACTCTCGGTCTCGATTTTGATCTGGGATTTCCGGACTGAGTTACGGAGTCCCGACGAGGATTTCCCTCTTTCGTTCGATCGGAAGACCGGACGAGCATGTGGCGAGCTGTCGAAAAAATGCACATGATTTCCGGGGCAGTAGCCCATGCCGATAATGATGAAAATAATGAAACTCTACTCACAATTTTTGATGACCTGTCTGGTTCGGATTTTCATGACGAGGATGATGATGAATGCCACGAGCACAATGCCGCTAGCGACAGAGATCAGGAGCAACAGCAGCGGACTCAACGTTAGATGCCACATCCCTGTGAAGAGGAGTTTTGGTCAGCGCGGAAAAAACGGGGAGCTTCTTACCGCAAGCTCTGATCACGATGACATTCCGGTGCTCGAACGAACTCCACACCGAACTATGAGAAAATCAAGCAGCGATAAGTAGCGGAACGAGATTAGCATCGAACAAGATTGAGTCGGAACAGGCAGAATGAGGCCCATAGCAGAGTCGGTCGATTTTGTCTCTGCCGTCGATGGCGGACAGCGAGTGATCTTCGAGCGCAAGAGGAATACGACCAGAAAAGCGCGTCGTTTTCGCCTCTCGAATCCGATAGCCGCTACCATTCATCCGATGCTTAGGCTGAAGCTCCCGCCACCGCCGAATTCAATCTGGTGGCTAGCTGAAGCCTGCGAGCAGTCAAACGTTTTTTTCTGTTTGTTGTCGGCGCCGCCGCCGGTATCGTTGTCGCTACTTAAGCAAAGTGTCCCCTTCAATCAACCCCCGTCCTGCCAACGGGTCTCCCCGGACGAGCATCCTCCAATTGGGTAAAGTGAAAACCGTTCTTTCTTTCGTTTGTTTCGAGCGCTCGAGCGTAAGTGTCGAGAACTTTAGACCTGGGTCTGGCATACTCTCTGGCCATGACCTTTCTACACCTACTCAACTCGTAGACGAAGGAATTCAAGGTAAGCCTCTCGGTGGATTCGGGGACGGTTGCGGACCGCGGAGGTATACCTGGCCCCTATGGGCTCCTATGCTAGTTTCAGCTGGAAACAATTTCGAATGGAACGTGATTGTTCCTTTCGTGCATCCATATACGGTACATACCTCGACGTGTGAGAGAGATGGGCGACGGGATCGTGTGAGCCACAATGACCGTGGGCTGACTCTGACCGCGTGAATTTGACGAGTAGATCGCCACCACGTACGCCGTAGCCGGCATCAGGTTGACGGCCTGCATCGTTGCGTGCGTTGACGACGTGTAATTGCCCCGTAGGGTTCGCTGCTCCGCCTCGTGCAGTTCCATGTGGAACGTCTGCTCGATTCCGCCGTCGTAGCCTTCCATGCAGGCGACGGTCAGAGACTCTTCGGTCTGGTTGATCACGGTGCAGTTTTGCACGGGTTCAGGAGGACCTTGCGGAGGACGTTATGCATTTAAAATCAGAAAACGCGCCGTGTGACTGGCAATATACCGCGGCCTTATGTCGCGGAATTTTTAAAGTGCTCCGTATCTAAGGCATGCAAAGCACCGCGACCCGCGGCTGGGTGAAATCCCCGACCGCGAAAGTGAGGCGATCGCACTACTAGCAATCTGCACGTACAAGATGGCTGTTGGCGAATCTAGTCGACCTCGCGCTATATCGTCTGCCAGGATTCATACCTGCTGGGATGAGGTTGAATACACAAGGCTCCCGCTGTAGTCCAATGTTGTTCTTCCCCCAGCAGATGATAGGGCCGTAGTCCTCCTCGCTCTGCGGTACCACGGTGAGCCAAGACTTGTTTTCCTCCGAATGGACATTGCTCGAAGAAATGAGCTCTTTGCTGTTGTTGAATTTCCATTTGAAGAGAATCTCGGACGGATCACCCTCTAGCTCGCATAAGATCCGCACAACTTCGTTCCGGGCCGCGCCGTAAGTGGTTTTCTGGTCTTTTTTGCAGACGGGTGCGTCTGGAAGAGGGGAAGAACGGAGATTGACGACAGGCGAATACAGCAACGCAGCTCCGGAGATATATGTATGTTCCCTCAATCAAGGATATCCTCATGAGTTAGAGCCGCGGGAATTTTCAGGCTCTGCCTCGATTAAGAATGGAACAGAGGAGATGAAGGAGGAAACAAACGGGAGATTGGATGGGGGACGGTGAAGGATTTGAGAAGAGGTCACAGATGTCGGATGGACTACTTGATAGCTGAACATGAACGAGAGGAAGCTTCTGAATTCATGAGAGGAATCTCCGTTGGGTATTTCCGTCGAAACTGAGCAGGTTGTTCCGCTTAACTTTGGAAAATCTCGGGTATCGAGGGATCAAGGAAGATATCAAGGGGATTGTTCCACAGAAAACGAGAGGTGAGAACGCGGGGATGACACTACTCGCCCCGAGGAAAACGAAGGATCAATCCCGGTGGGTTATCAGTAAACTGTCCCTCCCGTAATACAATTACATGTCCACAAGGGAATAGTTGGACCGGTCTGATAAGCCTAATTGAATCTATGTCGAGATAACTGGGATTAGTGTCATATATGAAGCGCACTCGCATACACATACGCGCTGTCAGCTCCGAAGTTCGCACGAGCTGGCCGCCGACGCGACCTGGACCCGACGGAACGACGCAGATTTTTGAGCCCCAGCCTGTACGGGCTCTGTAGGCAGGGCCTACCGGAGCGGCCAGATGGAGCGGTAGATATGATTCGAGCCCTTGAATCCAGTTGCGACAGCTTGTTCGGATGCGGTAGGTCAGACTTGGACCCGACAAGTTTTATATGGAACCGAAACCCCGTCCCAGAGTTTGTTGACGGTACGAAGATTGTGGACATCGGCTACGCGGACACAGAATCTGAGCATCTCTATAGTATGCCGCCTATGATACGAGCCACAGATGTAGGATACGCCCACGAGCGTATAAAACAGGATGCCGAGGGTCGGGAACCTGATTCGATATCAATAGAGTGAAAAGAAGGGCTCGAGGCCTTTCGCCGGACAGACGTAGAGCCAGGAATCGAAGGACCAAGGACGAAAGAGGAGCAAGGACTGTTCCTCGTTGTGGGGGCCGAGATTTAGACGTGTCTGCAGCAAAGTCCACACAGTTCCTCCGCCGAGCTGGACCTAGAATGACAGGCTTGCTCATCGCGGCATCCCAACAATGAGAGCCGATAGGAACACGAGTGAGTCGTTCCAGCCTCGGTGGAGTACGGAGAGACGTTTCTGCGAACGAGTAGGCGGCACTCCGATGAAAGCAAAAAATAGACGCAGCCTATATCTTACCACTGCGACAGCGAGGTCCGCTGGGAGAAACGTTCCTGAATTTGCATCTACCATCGCCATATACTCTGTACAACACCCTCAATACAGCGAAATGCCATTCCTGTGCCCTTTTCGTCCAGTCGTTTTTTTCCCCTTCCTTCTTCCGCTTCCTTCGATAGCGATACGAGCGACTCGTTGGCGGGCCGAGGGACAGCCAGACGGAAAAGGGACGTTACATTCGGATGAAAACTACTCTCGATCCGTCCGTTCAGAACGCTGCGCAGTTTGATCACCGTTTTCTCCTTGGGAGACGAAAGCGTTCCCTTTACTTTCCTTTATTGCTCATGGCTGGAATTCGACTCCTACGTTCCCTTTCCGGTAGAGAAAGCACAACGACAGGTTTACGTTTTTTTTTTCTCTCAATCGCGATGCCGTCTCGGTCTCCTGCGTCCGCCGACGTGTACCTACGTATGTAATGGCGTGTCATACTCACATCTGACTTTCAGCATGACGGCGTTGCTCTCCCCGATACCTTGCGCGTTTGTTGCTGTACAGGTATACTTTCCACGATTACGGAGATCTACGCGCTGCAGAACGAGACTTTGACTGCTCACAATGATTCCGGCGGAGACGTTCGTTTGTACCTCTCGACCTGCGGAGCAAACGACACTCCAGTAAATCTCTAAGCTACTATCCAGACCGAATCGTCCGTGATATGCTCCGAGGAACTCGTGTACATCGTATCGGTGCTCTCGGAAAGCTCCGTCACAATTTTTCTGCGACGAGCGCGGAATTCCGGCCTTCTCCCCCATCGTGTAGAGAGGAATAATTAATGACTCCGCGATTGCGAGCGAGGAGCGGATCCACATCGGGACTCCTTGTCCGTAGGAACGGAAATCCGAAGACCTGGACTTTTCCCGGCACCGAGGAAAAGGAGCGCGGAAGGGTCTCGCAGGGAGCCCTCGATCGCGGATGTGAGAAGGAACTAGTGGAGGGACACGTTCGGGAACGGAGGGAATCAGATGGGTTGCCGCGATGGCGTGATAATGGAATCAAGTATCAGAGAAAAATCCGAGTGCAAGAAACATAGATTGTGGAATGAGCCGCCGCAGGGAACGACAGCGAACAGACTCAATTACGCAAGCTGGTAGCGTCGCGCGTCGTCCTCGCCATCATCGTCGACGTTCATTAGGGAATGATTTTAATGAAATACCTTCGAAGCGCCAGCCGATGTCGTTGACCCATGGGTTTGCGCGGATGTCGCAGTCGAAAAACACGTCGTTGCCTTCTTGGATATGTTGATGGCGAAGCTTGCTGCCGAGGCGCAAGTTGAGAATGGGTACATCTGCAATGCGACACGCTTGACATACGGAACTCTAACGCCCGACCGGATGAACGTCACGCCTCGGTCCCGCGAAGATTCGACAAGCCAGTGGGAAAGGAGTGGACTAGCTCAAAAGCACCCGTGGACCGGTGGGAACTCGTGCGGGCCGACGACGTGCAGTGGTAGGCTAATTTTCTTCAAGGTCGTCCCATGGACGGCAACGGGTTCCGAGATCCGAGCCGGGACTCATGGAGGGCAGCAGATGTTTTCGAGACACCAAAGAGACGATACTTACAGTGAACTTCGAGCTTCCAGCCGTCCTCGATCCGGCTGTTGATGATCTGCGAATTTTCGGCGCGACACGACAGATGTTTGCCGGAGTCGTCGGAGGCCGGCACGAACGTCAGCGTGCTGGTGCCGTTGTGAGACGTGGAATTCATACGCGTGCCTCCTTTCCACCACTCGATTACGGCCGGGGGCCGCGAGCCCGAAGTCCGACATTCTAACGTGACGGGTTTCCCGGCCGACAACGGCCTCTGCTCACCCTCGATCCACACGGACAGCGGTCGAACTGGAAAGGAATGAATTCGAGAATTAGCTCATTGCCGACACAATTCGAGGGCGACGTCTCGCGAGCGCTTCTGAGTCGCCCCGTTTGATGATCAATTGCGCGAATCGTCTAATAGAACCGTCTGGAACGAATCCAACAGCTGATCGACGAGTCGATCAGGTTGACGCAGATGATGGCGGTCTCGAATGTTTCTCGTGGAACGACGAGAATGAGGAGGAGAGCGAGTGAATCCAAGGAAGCAGAACGATCAGCGCGGCACCGTCCTTCAAAAGAACAATGGCGTCCCTTCCGATGACGCTCTATGTGCTCTCGAGAGAATGAGCGGGGAATAATGCATGTTTGAGAGGCCTTTAACGGCATGGCTCTCCCAACGGCGGGCCGACGTCAGCAGGGCTGTTCGTCGAGGTCTCACCAGCGACGGACGCGCCGGACGCCTCGTTCGATCCTTGAATGGGACCGAATGATAAAAAATACTAATAATGAAGGAATCCTTCGGTGACGACAGGACACTGAGAAATCCCCCGACTGCGGCTCTAGATCGTTACGATTCCAACTCGCGACGATTCTTTGAGCTAGAACGCGAAACTATGCCATTTCCGATCGCCTCCTCCGAAAGATCGTCAAGATTGGGCGCTAGACGAGAGCCGAGACGTTTATTGGGAGCGGTTTCGAACGCCACGATGGACGTTATGAGCCACCGTGGTTCTGTAGAGAGAAGGAGATATATTGCTGGCTAGATTTGCCGACGATTTTCGCGAGGAAAATTATCACCGGAGGAATCACAATCCGAAGAGAAAAATGACCGTCATCATCACCCCTCATCACCATGAATGACTTTCGGATATCGAACCCTCGAAGGTCGAAACGGTCATCACCTACAGCCAGGGCCGGGAAAGCGCTCCGCCAGGAGAGGAATCGGTGAAGACGATCCCGACTCGGGGAGAGCGCTTATCCGAAAGCGAACACGCAGGATCCGCGTGAGAGCGGAGACTGTTCCGGACGAGACCTGAGTCTGCGCAAATTCCGGAGGAATGCTTCGGAGAAGGAATCGGTCTACGAGGCAATGTGGGCAGCGGAACATGAGATAAGGAAATGGGAGGGGAACCGCGGGGATCCCGAGGGAGGGAATCGTATGCAGACGAACTAGGGAATAAAGGAATGGACGAATAGGAATCCGTCCACAGATCGAGGGAGTCGTCGAACTGAAAATCTCCGTCCTCAAGTTATGCGGGACCGCGAAGAGAATCTTGGATGTCTCCCCGAGTTCATCTGGCGTGCCACTAGATGCTCTCGTAAGTACTCTCGTCTGGTGTACTCCCAGCGCATCTCACCACTCGTAATTAAATCACTCCGCGTACACTCGTAAATTGACCCCGGCTCGTCGGCCGTGCGCAGGCCCTCGGAGAGAAAGGTAAGCATTATGAACGACGTTTTTCCAGTTATGTACTCCCCGCCGAATACAAGTACGACGAGACGCTCTTTACTCGTTCAGCTGGACACGAAACTTTGAGGAGCACGGCCCCTCGACTCGAGAACTTTTACGAGCGCCGCCACCGTCGACTCTTTGAGGCTCCGTTCCCGTCGCTCCTCTCAACTCGCTCCCCCCCCCCACCCGCCGCAACGACGCTCTGAGCCGCTTTTCCCACCACGAGCCACCAGATCGCGGACAACTAAAAACTAGATTCTGAGATCTTGACGGGAGCCCGGACGCTACGCAGAGGAGGACGGTGCTCGACGTCTCGAGCTGCACGTCCGCTCGAATGGAATTAGAACCCGAGCCCCCCTGATCTGGATATCCAGGAGGGACGAACACTCACAGTTTAGGTCGACGATAACGCTGGCCGAGACGGGAAACGAGATATTGTTGTTCGCCGCCATACACGTGAATGTGGCCATGAGGTCGTTGCGGGTCAAAGCTGGAATTTCCAATATGTTTTTCGAAATGCCATTCGAAACGTTGTACGTTTCGTCCAGGAGGAAGGACTCCCTCCACCACTTGACGTGAGGAGCAGGATTGCCTGTTCAGAATGAAGCGGAAAATCGTTTAGGTCGTTGCGCTGTCGACACCGTCCGCCGTCGTCGCCATCGTCGTTTCTATGGCCCTCGACCGTGCGCCACAAAGCGATTGCATCCGATTCGCACGGAGCAGCAGTCGGGCATACAAATCGGCGTATTAAATTGTGTCGCGATTCTATTGCTCGCCCCTCCCCATCGCTTACCTCCTTCGACTTGACATATCAAGATGAGTTTGTCTCCCTCGTTGTAAGGTCCGATGACGCTTTTCGTGGCGAGGATTTCTCCGTTCTGGTCGGTGATGATAGGCTCGTTTGGGGGAACTGTGGAGGAGACAAAAATATGTAGGACACATCAACATCAGCCGCCGCCGCGACGCTTGTCGGAAACATCTCGAAAATCGCCGCGACGCTTGTCGGAAAACTCTCGAAAATCGCCGCGACGGCCCCTAAGAGCAATTCGAGCAGCTGCCGTACGTCGACGCAGCCGGTGAAGAGCTCCAAGTCGACATGATCTCCGCGAGCGCTACTCAACGCGATCGCTCCCGGGGGCAAGCCGCAAAGTCCGAGCGGCAGCTAAGATTAAGCCCCCCATGTCTCGTATTCCTTAAACGTGACTTAACTCTAAAGTGTACTTACGAATGACCTTCAGCTGAACTTGGTAGTTTCGGGTGCGGGCTTTCTTGAAGTCTACGCGGCAGCGGTAGAGACCTTCATCGCCTTCCTGCACAGGAGAAACCTGCAGCACGGAGGGTGTTGCCTCGGTTTTGAGGTAGGCTCGGTGCGCGAGCCATTCGGCGGGCGCGTGGTGAGCCTTCCGCAAACTCGTCTTCCGAGCATCCGCTGAGTAAATAGGGGTCGTCGAGTCGTCCTTGTACCACAAGACCAACGACACCTCGTCGTCGGTAGTGTTCGGATGTATATCGCAGGGCAAATTTACTCTTTCGCCGAGCACTCCGACAACGGCAATCGTGGGTTCTGCAACGAGAAAAAAAAAGAAGATTACCACTTAGAAAATTATCGCCATCTTTCGAGTTGGCAGCGGAACTCATGTGTCGATTCTGAATCTGTTCGATTTCCGAAGCTCTCCTCCGACCCAGAGCGTTGGAATTATTGTTGGAAGAACGGCTTCGGGCAGAGTAGTAAGCGCGAAATCGGCCGGAGACGATGCAGCAGGGGGAGGGGGTGGCGCAGAACAAGGCGCAGATGAAGTCGATGTAAAGAATTGCTGTTGAAGTGGAGACGAAAGAAAACATAGTGATCGCCATATAAACAAGCGCAACAAGGAAAACTCGACGTGGTAGCACTAACGAACGACCAGGGATGATAGAGGGAGCGTCGAGGAGAGCTGAGTAGGACGAAACAAAAAAATAGCAGGGCCGAAAAGAGGAGCGTAGGAAGTGCTAAGCCATGCGGCAATAAAATAACATTGAAATAAAAACAATAGTGGCTGGAGTACGTACAACTATAATAACAACAAACGAACTCAAGACGGAGGGAGAAGCCCCAACCGCACGACGACGTGATGCCGCGCCCCACTACCGTGCAGCCCGACCGGGACGAATTGGAAGAGCAGACGGGGCTGGGGGAAATAAATAACCGGGGAGAACACGGAGCACGGAACGGCTCGGGTAGAAGCAGCAACTCGATGACGGACGGGCTCAGAGGCTGAAGACTCGAGAGGGTCGAGGGGACACATAGGAGGCCAAAGAACCGATGAGGTCCTGCGGGGCGAACCGAGGAGGGACCTTCTGATGAGTAGGAGACGCACTCGTTTTTTGTAGCGTCCCTCGGGGTTCCGTGAGCTTCGATCGGGAGACCGGGGCCACAGAAAAGCCCGAGGAAAGGCCCCCGGGCTGTTGATTTCTAGTCCCGTCGTCGTAATGGTACGCCGCTGGTGCGAAGCTCCAATGATTGCCCTACTTGGTTTTGCCATCTCACGAGCGAGACACCCACCAGTGAGCAATACAAAGTCAAAGGAAACGAACGAGCGTCGGCTGAGGAGATGCTTTGTTCGTCGCTGCCCTCCCCCACGGGTAGCCAGCCCCCTTTGCCCCGTATATTCATCCGCCGTATATCTTCGTCCTTGTCCCGTTATGCCGTTAAGCCCCTCTGCTCGTGCTCGAGATCCCGGCTCCGTACTTTCGGCAGGAAACAGGTGGCGTGAGTTTTTAAGCAGCCCCAGTAGCTGCAAAGCTACTTCGGGAGACGCCATCAATTATACAGCTGCTACAAACCATATTGCATGGAACACCATCCGAAGCTAGTCGGATACTGGCTCGGGCGCTCAGTTGGCCGCCGCTGCGAGCTCCGAAGAGGGTCGGAAGCGACCGAACCGCCGAGTCGCTCGGACGTGGAGGTGGTAACTGCACTCTAAGGAGGGGGAGTTGGAGATGTATTGCAAGCCACTTATCGGGTTACCGCCCTCCGTTGATCGGCGCATTGCCTCCTTGCGCTCGCTTCCCCCAACAAGGGCCGCCGCGCCGGCTCGACGGTTCCCTTCTGATATTTAGGTCCCGCTCCGTTCGGCTCTCGCCCCCCGTCGTACAGCTTTGCCCAAACCAAAAAGCTTCCGAGTCTTTTTGCAATTCGCTTCTTGACTGCTCCTCGCTCGGTGGATGGCACTAAGTCGAATTACATCAATGTTGTCACACGCTCCTCCGTTTTCCGCGTTCGCCCACTTCAAGGAGATCAGGGAGGTCTTTAAGTAGCGTGAAATTCTTTTATCCATTCGTCATCGTCGTCAGAAGTCGACGCGTATGTACAGCGGTCGTTGTTGAGTCGCTCAGGCAGGCCGGCGGTCGGTCGGTCCATCCATCCGTCCATCGGTCGACTGTCAATTGCGTTCGTCACGATCAAGACGCTATTTCATCGTAAAATTCGCCGTTACTCGTCAGCCGCCGCTGCGGAATTTGAAAGCTCGTAAACGCTTTGGCGCTGGGGTAACACGACTCGACGACAAGCGACTCTCAACAAAACTGAGCTGTGACTTCTCGACCGTTTCTCTGCAAGTGTTAAGAACTGCCTGAGCCTTTCTTTGCCGCTTGCTTGTGTTTCGCTGCTGTTTTATTCCATTTGACGGCAGTATTCTGCCCGACAAAAGAATGGAGACCGACAACGGCTCTGAAATTATTGTCGTGTTGGAACGCGACAAGTTCAACGAATTTCATTTCTCGACCGACTGCGCAGTCGGTCGGTATTTGTTATTGTCGAATCAGCTGGTCTTCGGTCATCTGATTTTGGATCACGACCGGCGGCACGGATAACTCCGCCTCGGAGCTCACAAGGCAAACTATTCTCGGACTTCACGACACGACTCGTTCACCCTCTCCCGTTTTCATCACTTCTCGTTTCCGTCGAGGTGGTCACATCTCGCTCTTGGTTGAGCGCAGAGAAAGAGCTATCAAAGCAATCAGGAACTTTCTCGGTTTTTCTTCTCTGCTCGGTCGATTTTCCCGTCAGATGATTTCTGACGCGTCAACGCTCTCAACCCTGCGATCTCCGCACTGTTCCGATTCCGCACTTCGTCCGAAAGCTGAAGTCTGATGCGACGACTTGTTAAGCAAACATCACACCGACGGCGGTCGAGCGCGGATTGGACGGACGGGCGCGGATCGAACGGAACTGAATAGACGAACAGCGATTCACAATAGACTGATGGGACAAAGAATATACGGGAATTGAAAGCGACCATCATTGAGCAAGGGCAAGCTTTTGACAATTGGTCCGTGAGAAAGAAAACAGCGGAGAACCCTGGCACGGCAACTCGAGTCGACAGTCATTGTGATGTTGTCCAACTTTGCTCGGATGTTCAAGGGAGAGCCTAAGATCTTGCCGCCCATTTTCTCGACGTGTAGTTGAGAACATCTTGTCAGAAGTGTGAAATGAGGAGAAGGACGAGGCGAGAGCGGCAGACGAGCCGATAGCCGAAGCAGGCAAACGATCGATCGCTCGACGACCTGTACTTTCTCGCAGTCAGATCAACTTGACGCATGCACCTCCCAAGTACGCCAGATCGGATCCCGCTAAGGCGGCTTATCCATTTACTGCTCTTTAAAACCTCACACCGAGAGTTTTATAGGTCCACAGTCTTTGCGGAGCGGGCAGCGGCGAATGTTGCTTTCGCATTTTCGGTCGAGTCGAAAATGTTCTCGAGCTCATCTACTCAGGAGCGTGCGAGGAGCACGAACGTTATTAGAGTTGGGAGAGTAGGTGACCTCATCGACCAACTCGAAAATTCGGCGGTACTGAGCTCGGCGCTCGGAATGATGAGGGAATGATTATTGATAATTATCAATCATCATTATTATTTATTATCGTGAACGACTTGAGATTAAGCTCCTCCATTGATACGGATTCGATTCAGGAAGGTCCTTCTCCACTTCTGAAAAACTGTGAGATGAAGTAATCGCGAGATACGGAAATGCTATCCCGAGTCGAATCACGAATCTGGATTCGCTTGCTTTGATTTCGGAACGGCCCGTTGTGCGGCGGAGTTCGTGACTTTTCATTTTCGTGCTCGCTCCCCTGCTGTCCACTCCTGATGAGATCTGGAATCATTCAATCCCGATTCGCGATTCATCGTAGAGTCGAGCAAAAGACGGAGGCCTAGCGTTTTATCTATTCGGCAATCAGTGCTCGATTTTTCGCTCCGAATGCGGTCCGATAACGGCGCTCCCGATCCTTGGATGTGGACACTGAATGTGGATTGCTCCTTCCTCCATTGGACTTATGAAACCTGCTATTTGAATATGATTCGGAAGATCTAGAGCCGACCCGTACTGGTGTCCCTCGTTACCCTCGCGTCTGGTGTGGTGGGTTCGATGACTTATTTTTTGCCCCTCGTTTCCTGGACTCGGTGTTATTTTTCTGCTCCTCGGGTTCAGCGCCCCAAATCACATACTGCTTGTCTGCTCTCTCTCCCTACCCGCGGGACTCCGCTCCCAAATCAGCAGTGATTCTGCTGGCCCTCGGATCAAAACCCGAATGTGATACGAGCGTGGACTAAGAGAGAAATCATTGAAATCAATGCCACGTGACCTGATTTAGGCGTCCGGACATCATGGAGATAGAGAGATTGCCATCTCGTCGTGCATTTGCGTCCATTCACCCTATGTGTATCCACTCGCCGCTGCCCACAGCCAGCTGACTGACTGGCTTGCTTGCTCCCTCGTTCCCTGACTTCTCCGACCCTCATCCTCTCGAGCGTGGATCTTCGGATTCCCGAGTCTCGGAGAAAATGGATTTTTTATTCCCGTCAGTCGATGCTGATTCCCTTCACGAATTGTTGTTTGGTCCTCGGGGGGCCGCACGTGCCTTATTACGATTTAAGTCAATCGTGAGCTTCGCGGAAATCCAAATCGCGGCGAGAACCAGCTCGACCACAAACAGATTGATTCCAGCGCAGCTCGGCATCTCTCGGAGTCACCGCGTCAAGCGATGACATCATGATTCCTCGATGAGGAAAGTCTCCCTGACAACGTCGACGACGGCGTTGTCATTCGAGAGTCTCGCGTCCGGGATTTTATCGCCAACCTGTTTCGTGCCTCCGTGACAATGCGACGTCTGCTCGCCTTGTCAAACACTTCTCCGAGGGAGACAGCATCGCACGATGAGCGCCTATTTCCACCCACTGTATACGGCTTCAGTCGGCATCGACTCGATCGTACGGCTCGCCGAGCGGTCCTGCCAAACAGCGAAAATCCGTGCTCTGGGTTGCGACCATTGTCTTCTTGTTTCGGATCGCAGAACAGACACGTCCTCTGTCGGCTTTGGCTGTCTGTAACGAACTCTTTCCAGCGTCACGGATCGCTCCAAGCTGATTATTTGTGTCTCGGGGAGATCGCTTCCTCCCGGAAATCTGGCTTTCCCCCAAGAAAATTATCGCTTTTCCCGCGAGCTATCGAAAATAGGACAGCTATTTTTTCCAGAAGAGAAAACAGTCATTTCCCTGGGGAAATCGTTCGTAATGGAGGTTATGAGACCCTTCCGAGGCCGTGGGCCCATTTCAACAAAATCGATCCCGCGAAGCAGCTTTTAGAACTTTGGAGAACTTGACAATATTTTCTGGGAAGTACCGAACAAAGGTTTCTCGCCGGCCACTGCACAGTGAATTTTTTCCTCGGTCCGCGGAGCCAAGAGGGCCGTAGCGGCTGAAATTTCATTTCGAAAGAATGTTCGTTTGTTCCTCGCGGACCGAAAGCGAAAAGAGGAGACAGAGGACAAGAAATGGACAAGAGAGGGAATTCCTCTTTTCCACTCTTCGGGTTGCGTCTTGTGCTTTTTGCAATAGCCGGTGGGAACCGTGGTCGAGGCCGCACAGCAGCTGGTTCTGCACCATCCTGCAGCTGTTGTTTGGGAGGCGGTCGTGGTGAGGAGCAGAATTCCGTCTTTGTAGAGCGTTCAATGGCCGAGTTTCACAGTTTTTCTGGCCGTCTAGGTGTCTTTGCTGTATTGTTTATGTTTCGTCCGAAGGTCTAGACGAGAATTCCAAGACCGTGCTCAACATGACGGTCACAAGGATCTCGCCCATGGTGAATTCGCTGCGGGCCACGGAAAGCTCGAAAAGTATTCTCCCAAGCAAATAACAGCTCCGAAGTTACCTCCCCCCTTTTATTTTTTGTCTCGCGTGGACCGGCCGACGGAAATGTCGCCTGCTTCGAGAGTGCGCCGAGCAGCCCTCCGACACGAGCTCGTTCCCCCGCTCAAAGTCAGCCAGCGGCGGCCAAACACGCACCCCGACTAGTTGGATGGTTTGCGCACCCCGTTCGCTCTTCCGTCCGTTTCTTCGTTCGTTCCTCCCTTCATTCACTTTCGGTCGTCCCGCCGCGGGTGGCAGTGGTGAAGGAGGCAGCAGTGCTGCAAATTGTTCCAATTTTTTAATCAGCACTGAATTCGAATTTTGCCGACAGTGGGCTCCCCAACACTTCCGTTCGCCAGTCGACCAGACCGAGGCTCCGCCTTCGCTGCATGGGGAAATACTTTTTTGCTCTGCCTTCTCTTCCCGTCCCCCTTCCCGTTCTCTCCCGACTATTACGACTACGAAGACGACGACAACGGGTGCCGCT